GGCGGGCTCTGCTGCGTCAATCGTAAGGTGTGGTCGTCCGGATAACTGAGCCCGTTGTGCGATCCAAACACTTCCAACCGGATGGAACGGACGAATAAAGCCGCGGCTTTATTGGCTTAAGTCGAGTAAAGTCAATTTTGCCGATCGGCAAAATTGACCAATAAAACGATTAAAGTCGAATAAAGCCGCGGCTTTTATCCACACTGTGTAAAGTGCGCATCGGCATTTGTATGCCATCGCGCATAGGTCATACTTTCGCCCTTTTGGCTAGCGTTGGGCTCAGTGCCGGTACTGGTCGTTTCAGCCGCGCCGCACCCTTAAAATTCCTCAGTCTTTCCTTCTACACTTGCCAGAGCCTAGCTAGCCACAGTCCAGCGTTGCAACAATATGCCACGAACGACTGCGGCTTGATCTCTGCACGCTATTCCTCAACTTACGCCCAACAGATCACGTCTCGGTTGAAAAATGGCGTCAACGATTCTAGGTGGCGAGGCAGAAGCGTTGTTCTCTTCGGCCTCCCCACGAGCCATGGACATGCTCGAAACTGCGGGTCTTAGCGGGTTCGCAACGCCCGAGTGCTGTAACATTCCTGAATGCGCACGGATACCATCTAACACCGCGACTACGACCCGGAAGGTGTCGCTCAGTGACGCGGAGCTCCGACGGCGAGTCGAGCGTGTTGAAATCACTACCGACTTCAACAACGCACTGGCCAATGTATCGCTGCACGGCTGGAAGTGGAAGCGCGACTGCAGCACCTTCTCAATGTTCACCCGTAGCATCGCCAGTGGAAGTGGTGCGACGGTGGCAAACGCCCAAGTGCTAGCTATGGGCACAGTCTCCGGTGGCCGGGCACTGGAGAGATTGGTCTCGCTATTGCGGACGCCGAATGAGAGCGGCTTCAACAAGATAATGCAGCAGCTGTACAAGAGGGACTTCATCTACGGGTCTCTAGTTCACTCCGCACCCTCGGACGCGACGGATGGCAGCTTGCTGTTAGTCAAGACATGCGCGTTCGTGCGGTCCAAGAGGTTCTCGCACAAGAAGAATGAACAGATGTGCTACATCGAGCAGTTCCGACCGACCAAGGACGGATTCGCTCTTGTCTTCACTTCTCTTCCCCAGCACGAGGTTCTCGCCGGTAAGGCCAGTGGTAAGCACGTCGACGAATTGTGTCCATTCCGTGGGTGGATGCTAGTTGAGAAGGCCCCTGAGAGCAGAGCCAGTGTACGCGTGCTCTTCCACGCAGGCGTGGATCCCGATTTCCTTGCCGAGGACAAGAACACCGGTCTGGGTCTCTGTACGGCCAAAACAACGGCCGCACGAATGCACCGGCTTGCCAAGGGTGTCTGTCGACTCGGTGAGGTGCTCCATCACCAGCGGCGAGTAGACTCCACCAAAGCCAACAACAGAAACAACCAGCGTCAGGTGAGCACGGACGTCTCTAACTCACACTGTGTGGCCTGCACCTCCAAGTTCGACCTGCTACGACGACGTCGGCGCTGCGGTCTCTGCGCCTACAATGCCTGCTCCAAGTGCTGCTACCGTGAGCCCATGATAATCTATAATCGCTACGCTGCCACCATCCAGTTTTGCGCTCGATGCCGGGAATGCATGATCGGAGGTGAATACCCACATTTGCGATTGGCTCGGCGTCATAGTTCACCGGGCATCGAGACCTCACTAGCGACGCCTAGGTAGCAAAATACTACATGTAGTGGTAGTGTATATATAGGAGCCACCAGAACGAATGTAGTCTCTGTTTTTGTGCGTCTCCTTTCTTTTTGCGAACGTTCTAGGGAAAAAAAAGCAAGAGGAAGTGATGTCATTCGCCTATAGTTCATGCATCTTGTTTCATGTGTTTCACTGTTAAAAATTACACCTTGTGGCCAAAAAGTTGATCGGAAATGGACAAACCTGCTTCATTCGAGCTGGTTTCCTTCCGACTGCTTTTCTCTTCGTCTCATGTGAATATAAAATAAAAACTTACGCTTCCACTACATGTGCATGTACATGAAGTGCAGGTATAATACAACATGTTTATACAAAATGTTTAAACAATATTTTACCTAGTTTTAACCACAAAAAAATATGTCTAAAAATTGCTGCGGTAATCACCTTTCGATTATCACGCCAAAAAAGTTATGAAGGCCCGTTCACATTCGCCGGTAGCAGCAGTTGTCGCCAATTCAATGCGCACCAGAGTCTGGGCCAGACCGAGTCTGTGGTGGTTGCTCTGGTTCCTTGATCACTAACCTTTCCTCGCTACAGTATCGATAAAGTACTATTTTAATAAAAAACAATATCGCTGAAGTTGCCTAGCGCAGTATCCGATCGGTACAGTATAAACGTTTTCATTGCCAATCGATCCAAAGTAATCCCAAGCATCAGCATTCGTCCACAGCGTCCATCAACGCAGCGGAAACGTTGGTCTTCATAACGTCCGCATTTTATCACAACGGATTTGCAATACTGAACATGACTTGTGAGTTCTGTTTACATCGGCGGGGTTATCAGCATCAAGTACGCAACGCTGGAAAATGTACGTGGTTGCTGCCTAGCACTACAGCTCTGCATCACCGCGAAATTATACGCCATCGACACGCTCAATCGCTATTATGACATGCACGACAGCACATGTATTCCATCAGCAACAGCTTGCAGTCACGGATGAGCCGGACCACACCGGACCACCGGCTGCTGTACGCGATCATCGCTGAATTCAAAGTGGATACATACATGTAAGTCTGGGTATCAGGAAAGACTTTACAGGTGAATGGCACATATAATGGAATTCTTTCTCACTCGATCATAGTTGACTTTTACAGCACGTCAGCGTCACTTGTGTTTTGGCTGCCGAGGCAAAGCAATGCTGGTCAAGTCGAGCAGCTACATGTACATGCTCACAACGGCCAGTCAGGAGGAGGGATGCGCCACTGCCCGATACGGCGACTGCTAAAAGCTGTATACACTTGAATCTCCTTTTAGTAGTAATGCAATTTCGATAACAACTGATTAGAGGTTTATATATAACAAAAGAACTTGCATAGTCGACAAGCAATTCCTCGAATTAGGAATGATATCCTAGGCGCTTAAATTCAAAGTCTCAGTTTCCTCTCGATTATCATAATTTCAAAAGAGTGCCTGCATCTGTCACCTTCAGACATCGGTGTGCGATCGCGTCACTCGACTGGGCATCACGACATCTAGTACCGTGTCGAAGAGCGTTCGATTCAGCGGAACACGCCACAGCGATCGCTTTACCCACCAATGCGAGGGAGCAATAGGGACTGACCAACTGAAGGTCCCGCCGGCCGCAGTTTGGAATTATATTCCTTTCAGCACAGTACAAATGGGCCAAACGCGGTCACCAAGCCCGACCAGCAGTGACACCATCGTGAGTGTAATGCCCAACATCGAGAATATCAAGGCGTCCGCAGTAGATAAGCAGCCTCGCAAGAAGAACAAGCGGCCGTCCAAGCGTTTCCTGTGGCAAGAAGATTTACACCTGCGATTCGTAGCCGCCATCTTTGATCGTACGTAGATTTCGATGTGCGAGATTGGAGGAACCACGATGACTAACTTGAGGTCGCGTTGTCATTCCGTTAACTCAGTTGGTCTTAAAAATGCGTCCCCGAAGACACTACTGCCTGTAGGTTTAACGGATCCGGAATGATGCCGTCATCCAACACTCACCATGTGCCTATTGTAGTTGATGAACAAGTCTGACCCGTACTCGGGGCTCACGACGGAGCATCTCAAGTCGCACCTTCAGAAGTACCGGATCAATTACGAGCGTTCGCGGGAAGAGTTTCAGCGACTTTGCGATCGTGAAGTCAAGCGTGATCGCAAGCGCCGCCGTCAATTGGACAGCTACTCAGAGTCCGATGGGAGCGATAAACCGTTGTATCGGAACAGTGAGCTTGCCGATGCTGGTTCAGTAGCGGTCGCTAGCTACTCTTATGAGTACCTACCGGCTCAGCAAGCTCCAGTTTCTTCTGGTATGCCCGAGCTCACTGACGCTCAGTGGCGAACGTTCAGTATGCTCATGTCGGCGCCTCCTATAGACGATTCGCTGTCGGTGCAGATCCCACAAGAGACACCTTCGCCGCAAACTTTGACGCAAGACAACCTCCATATGCAGATGCACCAAGCCATGCAAGCACAAATGAGTTTCCATCGCGAAATGCTCGCGCGTAAGGTCCAGTTGTCGAATGATCTTTATCATTGTGAGGAGATGGAGACCTGGAGTAGAAACCATCAAGTACCGGGCGATGGAAGCGTCTTTCAGCAAGCATGGGCCAATACGCAGCAAATACACCAGCGTCAACTGGCATCCCACCGCTTGCAACGGCAAATGAATCAATTCGAAGCCCCACTGCATCAAAGACCATCAGCACCATCGGAAGTGCCTGCTGCTTCGCTTCCTTCGCTGGTAGCTGAAGACCAGATACCCCATGCGAAGGGTGACACTGGTCTCAACCGGTGGGATCTCTTCAACGTCAGTCTTGACGATGACGAGTTGTTTGAGTTCCTTAAAGCGTAACAATGTATGTGTCGATCGATGTAAGTAAGATTCTATCTCGTTTTCATTAGCAATTCAAGTTACGATTGGTTCCAACGCCAATCGTGCGATAGCTCGCGTCAACACTACGCCTAGGATCGCAGGAAGCCGAAGACGTCGTCGTCGTCAGAGTCCACGGTCAGACTGAGTCGGCCCCAGCTGGTGAGGTCCACACCGCCGTCGGTATCCATAATCTCATCAGTTGACCTTGGTGGGGGTTCTGGCAGGGACCCGCCCACTGAAACTGGTGCGACGGGTGCGGCCTCTTGTGCTTGATGGAAGAGGCTCTGTTGTTGTTCATGCAGCCGACCGTAGACTTGTTCTTGTTGTTGCCGTAGCTGCTCTGCGTTCGCCCATGCTTGCAGAAAGCTCGACTCGTGCCGGTCATTGTAGTAATCATTGGCTGCCACCTTGTTAGTAGTATTGATACTGCTCATTCGGTTAGCCCAGGAAAGCCCAGACTGCACCTCGACACTGCGCGTGAGTAGCAACTCGCGGTGGAAATCCATCCTCTGCTGCATGGTCGAGTGCATATGCTGCTCTGACGCCTCATCTTCGAGAAGCAGTGCATCGCACATATCCCATTGCTGGTTTGTGTCTTGTACTACGATATGATCCGAGGTACTGGCAACCGATGCGTTTCCAGAGCTCTTGTCTTCTGTTTCTCGATGCTGCTGATGACGATGATGACGCTTTAAACTCCGCTTGCCATGCTTCTCATTGAGCCTGTGCGCCTCGAGCTTCGAACGTTCGTAGCTGATCCGATACTTTTGCAAGTGCGACTTGATGTGGTCCGTTGTCAGTCCCTCAGTTGGATGCTTGCTTTCCATTAACTATCACGACAATTGCATATATCAGCACTGGATCACGGCGTGCAAGAGTAATAAGAGTCCGTACGGCTAGTAGAGCTTTCGGCGACGCATTCTTCACCCCCACTGTCGTAGCAGACGAATACAAATCGTCACCTCTCAACCATTAAAATCCGACATTGCAAGGGCCGGGAATTAACGCACATTCAAATACTGCAGACACGAAACGCAGGTGAAGCTCTTCCGTCCAGAGCAACCGCTTCGTCTTGCGCTTGGTTTTGCCGGCAGGCGACCTTGTTGGAGTCGATCCATTGCCACTTCCGCGATTCGACTCAGCAGTTGCTACTGCCTCTGCTTTCGAGTCCGAGTCATCGACGCCGCTCGGATCCATGAGGATTCGAGCGGCGTGCGTTTTCAGCGAGATAGTATCAGGTATCGCGAGGCTCAGCTCAGGACTCAGTTTGATACTGTAGGACGAAGGAAGCCATCGCAGTTTTGACTCGAGTGGCACAGCAATAATCACTTTGGCGTCATTAGCAGGCGAGATGCGGAGGATACAATCACCAGGCTTTACATAGTCTCTGGCACTGCTTTGAATCTTGAGACGGATTTGAAAGCAGTTCATGCTGGACAGCGGTGTCCTAATGCTGCGTAGCTGTGAGCAGGAGCATTTTGCAAGGGAGCTAGATAACGTCAGCACTGCCATACTAGTAACCATTACTTCTTCGCACTCAACCTAAACGTAAATTCTGTCCTGCCTGCACTTCGTGAAGTTAACGAATGCAGCAGTGGTCTGAGGAACCAACGAAGTTCTACGGAGCTAACCCCAGAGTATACCGCACGCTTGCCCTTATCTCATCACTGGACATGTCTCCTCCCAGCCCCTGGTTCGTTGATCTTACGCACAACAAGATCTCCGTCGATCTTCTCCAAAGGTTTCCACCAGGTTGACCCGGCGATTTCTGCTATTCGTTTTGAGCACGCCCCTTCTTACTCGTTTTGAAGAGATTTGCAGGGGCCAGCTTGCTTAGCGCCGACTGCGGAAATTCCGAGTCCGCAGTGACCTTGTTCTTAACTCGAACTAGGATAAATGACACCTGCTCAGCCTGAGCCTCGGCTTGATGCGGAATATCGGGATGATGAGACCAGCCCCTTTTTGACCTCGTTCCAACACGCCTGCAACACGACGGCCCAGCAGAAACCACAATGTCTCCTCAGTTAGTATAATATTTAGCTCGACTGACTGAAGCAAATATTCCAGCTGCCCCAGCTTTCCTTCCAAGACTTAAACTCCCTTCGCTGTTCAGACGTTGCAATCTCTATCTCTCTTGTTTTCAGCTTAGAGCGGCTCGGGGTGTTTTCGCTGCCCCCCCCCCCACCCACCCCACTCTTCCACTTCAACTGTTAAAAGCTTGGGCCCACTGGTGTCGTTTTCTTCACATTCCATGTCGATGTCTTCTCCTTCACGTTCCATCTCGATGTCTACAATAGACCCCGTGTCAATGCTATAAGAACCATCAAGCACGGCCAAGAACCGCAACACCGAGCAAAACTGCCCCTTAAACTGATCCCGACACTCACAAAGGGTGAAAGAAGCGGTATTTTCCCCGTTCGAAATGGTAGCATCCATGGCCAACAGCAAGAAAATGCGCGCCACTACTTCATTAATGCCGCTAGTATCAATTACACCTTGCTGCAGGAGCTCCTGGAACTGAAGTAAAATGTACTTGCCGAGCGACTGTCCTGAAACTTCGTATCACATATGAGTCGCGCCGAATGTCAAGACAGGATCAGTTATGTAGCCACAAATGTGGACGTCGTGCGAGTAGGTAACATAGTGTAGCACAGCCATAAAATCCGCGACAATCCACGACGCAAATGCTGAGCTTGACTGCGGACGTATTTCGAGGCGACACAATAATGCTGCAACACCTTTCAAACTCTTCTCGCTGTGGTTTCTTCTTTGCCGTCGAGCCGCGGGTGTCTTTCCGCGTGATTCGAAAGACGCAGATCTAATTGTCTTGATGTGCTGCCAAAGTACCGCGGAGGTGTCGTTTATTTTAGTAAAAACTACGGGCGAAGACTGGAGCGAAATGGGATATGGCTGGCGACATCTTTCTTTTCATTTCGGCATCGACATGCAACAGCTTGAGACTATTATCGCCACCCCTTTGACGTTCTTCTCTCACTTCTCGGGTCCTATTTGTTCGAACCATCAAATACTTCCAGGAACGAGCAAAACCCCTTCTGAACGAAGTCTTTAAGTGAAAATGGGTTCTGTATCCAGATATTCTATCTGTCGTAGTTAAAAATTTCGATAAGTAATTGTTTCCCAAAGGTAGTAGGAAAAAAAAGGTGGGGGAAGACTGAAATAGGTAATCCAGACAACCTGCCGACAGAAATAAAATCTCCGAATTAAAGAACATTTATTACTTTTCCCATGTTTTTGCATCAACATTTAGTTAATTGACTCATGAATATCAGGCTTAAGCTTCAACTCCAGCGAATCACAGTGGCAATACAGATTTTTTATTTACATGTGAAACACACTAACATCAATCTTCTTCTACTTAGAAAAAAAAAACGAGGCGACCACTGTAGCAGCCTTAAAAGTTGTAACGAGACTTGATGTTCTCTAGAATGCTACGAAGCAGCCAACCATCGGCGTCGGTCAACACGGCATCCTCGTCCATCACGCAGGTAGGGAAACCCGAAGGCTTGTTTTCATCCAGGTACATCTCCGGCAGGCCGAAACCGTGACCAATCTCGTGCAGCAAGGTCATTTGCTGCTCCTTATCCAAATACTCCAGAAAGTGGTTCACTTCGATGCGCTGGCCCCAGTCACCGCCCGTACCAAATGCGTTCTCCCCCGCTGACGTCGACGGCCAAAGGGTCAAGTCGAAGGGTTTACCCTTGCAGCCGCTCTTATCACCGCGACCGTGTTTGTAGCACTCATCGGGGCACTTGGGACTACCCTCACCATCTAAAATGCCCTCATAAATCGGGCCGAGCGAGTCATCACTCCAGTCCATAATGGACTTGTCTTTGACGGCGTAGCCCACAATGTCGACGTCGATGTGGTCAT